AGTGCTAGGACAGGCTCCAAAGTTACACAGAGAAACCCAGTCTCAAAAAACCAAAAGAAGGGCTGGAGAGATGGCTCAGTGGTTAAGAGCACTGGCTCCTCATCCAGGAGATCTGGGTTCAATTCCCAGCACCCAAATGGCAGCTCACAACTGTCTGTAATTCTAAAACCTGATACCCTCATATACGCATGCAGGCAAAAACACCAGTACACATTAAATATATTTTTTAAAAAAGGGGAGACTCTTGACTGGAGTTTCTCCACCACAGATTTTATTGTTTGCCACTGCTGAAGGCTAACAGGTACCAACAGCTGGTGCTTTTTAATGCGGCTCTGTATACTTCACCTCTCAACCCTCCAAGTGCCCTAAGAGGCAGAAGCAATCTGAATTTTTTTGAAAAAGATACTAAGGTTCATGACCTCATCCCCCTTTGACCATTGTACAGTTAGTAAGTGATCAGACTGGCTTTTGGTTTGTTTTTTGAGACAGTCTCACCACTTAGAAGCTAGCCTGGAACTCAGAAACTAAACTGGTCTTGAACTCGGAGATCTGCCCGTCTTTGCTTCTTGAGTGCTGGGATTAGAGGAATATGTCACCACCCGGTCCAAACTGGTCTTCAAATTCCTAATTATCAAGCTCTGCACAGTCATTAGGTTTTGAAGCAGCATACAATCAGAGCCTGACTTGAATTTTAGGATGAAATTACAGAACCCAAGGAGCTATTGACATTCCCTCGTTTTGTAGTAATGAGCTCTGTATGTTCTGGGAAGTAGTAGATAACCATTGCTAGCAGAGGAGAGCTATTGGTATAGGTGACAGGAATGAAAGGTTGCAGGAATTCCCTCAGCCGTTTCCTGTTTTAGAGGTAGGTAAAATAATAGGCTTGCCAGAATTCTCCAAGCTCATCTCCCTGTCCTTAGGAAGCCATGGGAACAGATGTGTACTATGTCAGATTTCATGATCCCCAGTAAGTAGATTTCACCGACTGCTTGAGGTTTCCTAGATGGTAATTTTCACCCTGCAAGGAACCCATAACTTCCATAGGGATTATTCGAAAAGATGACAGCACAGGAAACGCGGATGCCAATCAGCCGCATGTTTAATGAGTTTCCTCTCTGCAAGGCAGTATTTTTCAAATAGTGGGGAGCAAAAATAATTGATAGGTAGTCTTTGCTTTCCTGGAAGATATAACTTAGGCATTCCAACCTAGGCATAGAATTACATTGTTCAAAGGAAGAGTCCCAATGAATTAGGGAGTCACAGAAAGCTGGAATGAGGTCTTGCTGGGTGGGAAAGAAGTTCAAAGGTACCAGAGGTATTCTGAAGGGCCCGAGTGGGAATGTGTGGGGCATCCCTGGAAGGTACTGTCTGGGTGAGTGTCTGAACTGCAGGCAGTGGTAAAAGAATATGGAAAAACAGCTATGAAAATGAACTTTATGTTGGAAGCAGGAAACAATTCAAGGTCATTCTTGGCTACACAGCAAATTTGGAGCTAGCTTGGGTTGCATTGTTTGGGAGCAGGGGATATAGGGACTGGAGAAGTGGCCCAGTAGGTAAAGCTGCATAAATATGAATTTGGATCTCTAGAACCCAAATTAAGCACAGTGGGGCGGCTCATGCCTATAATCCCAAGGCTCTTATAGCAAGATGGGAGATAGAAACAAGAACCTCTGGAAGCTCATGGCCAGATAAGCTAGCTTGGTATACGCAGCAGTGGACAAGAAACCTGTCCCAGAACATGATGGAAAGAGGACTGACACCTGAGGGTTTTCTCTACTGCTGTGTGCCATGTCTTCTGTGTTACCTGCACTCACACATGCATACTATACACACACATACACACACTGTACTCAATAGGTAGAGACAAAAGGGTTCAATGTAAACAGGCCTATGAGGAGAGGCAAAGGCAAAAGACATTGTTTCAAAATAATTTTTTTAAAGGAAATACTCCCAAGTAATCTCTATTACCTTCCCTGTTCCCAGGTTTAAACATTTTGTTATATAACTTGCTATCTTACATAAGTGTCCTCACCAATAATTTGTGACTTCCTCTAACTCTATTGACGAAAAGTCCTTCATAGTCTTGGAAAGAATTTCCGGCACTTCCCTTTTGCTAAGAAAGGTGTCCTCGATTGCCTAAGCCCTTGATGATCACATATGCAAAAGTGTTAAAATTAGTGCTCAGACCCAGAGGAATCAGCTGCCAAATGCTCTCTAACAAGCAAAAATTTCACATAACTCAGGCCTCTGGGGGCTCTGGCGCGGCTGGAGTGAAGCCAGAAATGCCTGTGACTGCAGGTGCACTCAGGCACACTGGGACCTGCTGGAACAACAAGCCAGCTTTACTGCAGTTGATTTAGGAGAAGGCCAGTGGCTGAGCTTTCGCTGACATTTGCAGCTTGGAAAATCGTGCCCCACGCACTGCAAAGACCTGTCGGAACGATCTTTTTCTTTTGATAAAAAGATACATTTCTCATTTTGAATTTTCTATTCATGCAGGCTCTAAATGCTTAGCATCTGTGCAAACGACTCATCGAAGTTTGTCTGTACATGGACACACCTCGAAAGAGTTGTGCATGGACATCTTGGGCTCGTCAACACGTTCCCTGAGCAATCCTTTGAATCTCCTCTTTCACGGGAATTGGTGCACATTCCCCCATCTCTGCCCAGATGAAAGCACGGGAATTTTACATCAATTGCTGAAGAAAAGTCAGAGGGTTTCTTGGTCTCAATGATTTTGTTGAGAACTTACCTCCTAAGTAGCCTGGTTTCCGGACTTTTTTTTTTTTTTTTTAAAGACGTGGTCTTGCTGGGCAGTGGTGGCGCACGCCTTTAATCCCACCACTTGGGAGGCAAAGGCAGGCGGATCTCTGTGAGTTCAAGGCCAACCTGACCTAAAAAAACGAGTTCTAAGACAGCTAGGGCTGCACTGAGAAATTTTGTCTCAAAGGAAAAAAGAGAGAGAGAGACAGAGACCTGGTCTTACTGTGTCTGTCCCAGCTGACCTCTAACTTGCTTCTGTCTTAGCATCCTGAGTACCCTGAGTCCTGGGATTTCAGCTGTGAGCCACAATTCCTGGCCAAATGCTCCTTTTTGAGGTATGAGGTGGATAGTAAACCGAACACTGAACCAGGTGTGGCCTCTCTTGGTTTTCAGTTGTGTACTCTGTTATGTCAGAGTCTACCTGGAGTCTTCCCTCAGTTCTACCCTACGGAGCTGGAGAAACAGTGGATTGTAGTCTTTGGTTATTGGCTCCACAATTAGGCAAAATCACAAACTCTTTAAAACTCTTTAAATAACAAATCTTCATACAGTTTCGGAGATGTTCATCTACATATACTAAAAAAAAAAAAAATGGAATCCAGACAATTGGCGAGCCTACAAAAGCAAGACCAAACTTTTCAGGATTTGGTTATATGAAGCTCTTCACACATACTATCCCTTCCTAGGGAACAATCATAGATGGTTAATTTTTTTGTGTTCATGAGACTGGGCTACAGATGTCTGGACAGACAGCTGTAAAACATTTGTGGGTGTGTCTGTGGTTTCTGGAAGAAATCATTTGCATGGTGACCTGAGTGTCCTCACCAGTGTGAACAGGCATTATCCAGTCAGGTGAGAACTACACGGAACAGTAAAGCACACAGTAAATTCACTCTGAAAACTGGGCCAGCTCTCTTTTGCCGCACTTCAGCGCTCCTGGTTTTCCATAGGACTGGGCCAGCTGTTATACTTAGTAGCTTTCCACTCGCGTCCCCTCCTCAGGCCTCCTCCAGTCTTCTGACGTCTTCAGACTCCTACCATTGGCTCCTCTGGTTCTCAGGTCTTTGGGTTTGAACCCAAAGGATATCAACCAACTTTTCTGGGACTACAAATGGCAGGTTGTGGAATTTAGCCTCCATAATCTTGTGGCTAATTCCGCACAATCTACTTTGACTATATATTCATTGGTGTTTCTCTGGAGAACTCTAAAACATCACTATACTGTAAATATTTTTGTCCCTGCACATTGAGGCTTCCTAGTGCTTAAGACGTAGTCCCCTCTAATTACAGGCAAGTCCACAGGTGGTTTAAAAAAGGATGGGGACAGCAGGGCGATAGTGGGGCAAGCCTTTAATCCCAGCACTTGGAAGGCAGAGGCAGAAGTATTTCTGTAAGATCGAGGCCAGCCTGGTCAACAAAGTGAGTTTCAATACAGCCAAGGCAGTTACACAGAGAAACCTTGTCTCGAAAAAAGCAAAAACAACAACAACAACAAAAAGAACTCTGGCTGCTCTTCCAGAGGACCCGGTTTTAGCTTCACTTGGTAGCTTGCAACTGTCTAACTCCAGTTCCAGGGTCTCTGACGCCCATACACATAAAATAAAATTAATTTAAAAAAGTGACAAAGCCTTGGATTTATACCTTTGGACCCACGTTCACTTATGTTGCATCCTCCGTGCTATCCTCCTCCACCGTCGTCTCTGTGCTACTCACCCAAGGCTAACCAAATACTCTTCTTAACCTGTCCTAGGGACGTTTGTACAGTCTTCTAACCACAGAGAATCGCACCTAGTTAGCTGCCTCTATTTTTCTTTCCCACTAGACCACAAGCTCTCTCAGCTGCGGTGCATTTTATTCAGCCTTTCTCCAGGGCCTTAAAAGGAGCCCCAGCACACCTCAGCGCTTAGAGCTTTTGCCAAGAACCAATCAATGCATGAATGAATGAGCCGCCTCAGGGTCGCACAGTGCCTCTCCATCCTGACTTTGCTCTCCGTGCCCGGGCAGCTCTCGTAGAAGAAGTTAGGAGTTCGAGGGGGTCACGGAGAACCCACGCGAAGGACTGTGAGGAGCCTCGCTGCGCTAGCTGCTGCCCACCTATCGAGAGCTTTCCGCGAACCGGGACAACTTTACCTCCCGGAAGCCGCCTCGCCGGCCTTCCCCCGCCCCTCCGGAAGGTGGGCGTGGCCCTCATGAATAATGAATCGCCGGGGGGAGGGGAGGGGTCCGCCCCCCTCGGGCGGGAAGGGGGAAGCGCCGAGGCTGCCTGACTGGAATCCCGGGAGCTGCAGCGACGGCGGCCGCGGGAGCAGGGCCGGCCATGGCGGTGTGGACACGGGCCACCAAAGCGGGACTGGTGGAGCTCCTTCTAAGGGAGCGCTGGGTGCGGGTGGTGGCCGAACTCAGCGGCGAGAGCCTCAGCCTGACGGGTGACGCGGCGGCGGGCGAGCCCGAGCCGCCGGCTGCCGCCTTCAACGGTCTCCCGAACGGCGGCGGCAGCGACTCGCTTCCCG